AGAAACATTTAATATGTAACACTTTGAAACTCTAATCTGTATATTTAAAGTTAAACCTAAATATGTAAATAATAAGATGGCTCTTTTGGACCCAGAGAGGAATATTGCGGATTTTTAAAAAATATTTTTTCTAAATTATTCTGACAGGTTGTATTGCTTTTTTTTTCATCCTCTTTTATTCTGGGCTATTTTAATTTTGAGTAAATATTTACTTAAAACCTTTGAGTTGACTGAAACATTTGAATCAAACCTCACACATAATTGATGCTATACATCTAACTTTGTTAGATGGTTTTAAATATTATTATTTAAATTATGTTATGATATTTAGACAAAATATCACAATAAAACCTACAAATATGTAACAGAAAGATAACTTTAATCTTTTTTACATTACATTTTATAATGAGGAGCTAACACATTCACTCCCAGCGCATCAAAAACAAACGCTTGGTCAGCCAGCCACCACGTCAAACCCCAGACGCCAAAAGTGCCCTTTTTCGTTACTTATGTGCGAAAAGGGGCTTTTCCCTTTTCTGACTGCAGATCCCAACGTAGCGTGAAACTGACGCGATGGGATGTCCGCCGATGCGGCACCGAACCAGCTCATTTAACCGCACCTAAACCTTAAGTTTTACTATTTATAACCTTCCCCTCACCCTCATCCTAACCTTAACCCTCTTGCTACCTAAACGTTACTCTCACTGCATTCTGACTGTGAATTTTCGTATTTTCCGCCCAAGGGGAACGTTAGAACATACCATCTGGCGAGGGGGAGGTTACAAATACCCTCTACTTTTAACCTCCACCTTGGTAGTTGAAACCTCCCCCTTACGTTGCCTCGGTCCAAACCCGACCAATGACGAGGCGGCTCCCGCCGTTCACTTCATAGAGCCGGCTTTTAGAGTGACCGACACATCTCTAACGTGTTCGCTAGCAAGATGGTTAAGGTCAGGGGTGAGGGGAAGGTTAAATAACAAGAGGATAAGGTTAGGGTGAGGTACAGTGAGCTTGTTTGGTGCCCTGGCTGCGGACATCCCATCGCGTCAGTGTAACGCTGCATTGTTGGGAGCTAAATGTGACAAATTAAACTTTGATTATTTTTATATTTGAGTTTACAACCTGCATCCCAAATAGTGGGGAGCGTCATTAAGGGTATGTCTCAGAACACATGAAGAAGCAAACAAATGCAAATCAGTGTAACTCCATTAATTTCTAAGATTTATGTTTAGCATCTGCTACCGACCAGGAGATTTAAACATCATCCTGTTCAAATTCCGGTGTTCCCTCACACACACAGGCCAATAAGACAAACAAACCTGGAAACAAATTAAGAAAAGCCTGGCTCTTCTCACGCACAACCACACATGATTCACCTCTAGAAATCTGGATCCATTCAACTCCAAAAGAACCTGCTAGTGCAGAAAAGTCTCTGAAAATTAGATGAATAACCCGGCATCATTCGTACCAAAGGATGGATTCTGAAGGTGAAGTGTGAGGCTGAAAGAGAGGCAGAGACAGGAGGTGAGTGCACGCGTATTGTTGGTAGTGGGTGTTCATGAAGTGTTGCTCAGAATAGGAGAGAAACCACCTAAAAGGCTGGAGGAACACAATAACACATCAAAAGGGAAAACCTGAAAACCTTGGTATAATGAGGCTGATGAATGAACTGGGATCTAACAGGAACAAAGTGAGTTTGAGAGTGTGTGAGAGCCAGAGAGCGTTGGTGGGTTTTCCTCACACTGAGGGGACCGCCGTCTGTTTGCACTGCACACACCGGCCAGAGGTAAGTTCCTAAAATGGGAAGGAAGTACATGCCATGTGGACTGGAAGCTGGAAACGATAGTGGAATGTCAAGTCCCATCAAGTCATAGAAGCAAGTATGTGTTTGAGGTTTTGCATATTAAAAGGAATAAAGTCCTGCTTTTCCTGGGATCTGCTTTAGCCACTCCTCCAGTTTGGGGGTTACTGCCCCGAGTGCCCCAAGGACCATGGGGCACCACCGATGTCTTCACTCTCCAGGCTTTCTCAAGTTTTTCTTTGAGGCCCTGGTACTTCTCTAGTTTCTCATGTTCCTTTTTCCTGATGCTACCATCACTTGGTGTTGTCACATTAACCACAACGGCTGTCCTCTGTTGTTTGTCTAGCACCACAATGTCCGGTTGGTTCGCCATCACCATTTTGTCTATCTGTCTAATATATATATATATATATATATATATATATATATATATATATATATATATATATATATATATATATATATATATACATATATATATATATATATATATATATGTATATATATATATATATACATATACATATATATATATATATATATATATATATATATATATATATATATATATACTGTATACACTCAACAAAAATATAAACGCAACATCTTTGTTTCTGCTCCCATTTTTCATTGGGGCAACGGTGGCACAGGAGTTAAGTGCTCGCCCCGTAATCGGAAGGTTGCAGGTTCGAGCCCCGCTCAGTCTGTTGCTGTCGTTGTGTCCTTGGGCAAGACACTTAACCCACCTTGCCTGCTGGTGGTGGTCGGAGGGACTGGTGGCGCCAGTGCTCGGCAGCCTCGCCTCTGTCAGTGCGCCCCAGGGCAGCTGTGGCTACGTCGTAGCTCATCCCCACCAGTGTGTGAATGTGTGTGAATGGGTGAATGACTGATTGTGTTGTAAAGCGCCTTGGGGGGTTCCAGGACTCTAGAAGGCGCTATATCAAATACAGGCCATGAGATGGACTTAAAGATCTAAAATTCCTTCCAGATACATAATATTACCATTTCTCTCAAACATTGTTCACAAATCAGTCTAAATGTGTGACAGTGAGCAGCTGTGCTTTGCTGAGATAATCCATCCCACCTCACAGGTGTGCCACATCAAGATGCTGATCTGACATCATGAGTAGTGCACGGGTGTACCTTATACAGACCACAATAAAAGGCCACCCTGGAATGTGCTGTTTTTTTTGCTTTATTGGGGGTCTGGGGACAACCATTTGCCTCATGCAGTGCAACACATCTTCTTCACATAGAGTTTATCAGATTGTCAGTTGTGGCCTGTTGAATGTTGGTCCACTCCTCTTCAATGGCTGTGTGAAGTTGTTGGATATTAGTGGGAACTGGTACACGCTGTCGTATACGCCGGTCAAGCACATCCCAAACATGCTCACACCTGTGAGGTGGGATGGATTATCTCAGCAAATCAGAAGTGCTCACTATCACACATTTAGGCTGATTTGTGAACAATGTTTGAGAGAAATGGTAATATTGTGTATCTGGAATGAATTTTAGATCTTTAAGTCCATCTCATGAAAAATGGGAGCAGAAACAAAGGTGTTGCGTTAATATTTTTGTTGAGTGTAGATATATATATATATATATATATATATATATATATATCCCTGAACTCACTCACTTTACTCAATAACACCAATGAACTCATTTGTATAACACCGGTTTGCTACTTCCAGCTCACCTAAAACAACCACTAATCACTTATATGTGACATGAAATGGTTTATGAATAGATTTATTTTGGGCAGTAAAACACAATCACATCATTGTTAAACAGAATGAAAATATGGACCAATGCTCATGGCCTTAATGATTTATTGTGCAAAGTTTAACCACCTCTAATTCTCATAATCATCTTAAAAATACCTAATCATGTCACATGACACATTCAGATTAACTTGAAGTTAAAAAAGAGCAGTCACATAAAGATAAGTCTAAAAATAGATGCAAGTGCGTCTATTATGTTACGTGTATTTCATAAAATTTGAATTATTTCCATTTACCCTCATCAGTGTTTATCTTGCAGCGTATAATAAGGTGACAATTTTAAAATGTGGTACATGTAACACTTAAAAGAAGTTTGAGCACTAATATGTTTTTTTCTTTCTAGGATGTTTAATTCAGTTCATTTAAGTCAATCATACTTTATGAACACTGAATAAACTCCACACTGTGAGCAGAGTAAAGGCAGGGGATCATGAAACAGAGCCAGTTTGTGTCAGCGAGAGCTGCTAGCTGTGTGGGGCAACTCGTTTCTGCTTTCTCTCCTCTGCTTCATGACAAACAAGAACTTCCTCCTCCAAACAATTAAAGACTGAGATATAAGCAAAACCTTTGAATATGTAAAATAAAAAAGACGTGTGTGTGTGTGTGTGTGTGTGTGTGTGTGTGTTTACACAAAAGTCAAACAAGCTACTCTGAGTGACAAACTACTATAGTGTTTATTGCATCTTAGACTTTTTTTTGTTTTTGAGGGAGGGCAGTTTTATGGAAATACACCAAGATGTGAAATATAGCCTGAGAGGGCAGAGAGGGTAACATAACCTACTGATCACGTCGTTTTGTTTTTACACCAAAATGCATGAACTTTCATCACACAGCCACAGCTGAATTGTTTCTCCAGTCCAACATTGTTAAAAGCCTCAGTGGTCAGAGACGTTGGTGATGTGAGGTTGTGTGTTTTCTACAAAACAGATCAGCAACCGTAGAAGAGTGGGGACTTTTCCCTTTGTGGGTGTTTTATTGCACATCAAAATTAATATAAAACACATGAAACAAGAGATTCAACGGAATGTGGGAATAAATAAAGCAATGGTTGTGTGTGTAGGGATCATTAGTGAAATAAAGTGCTTCCAGTTTGGCTGTAGCATCTTAGCGCTATGAACTCTGCAAAAGCAACAAATTCTTTAGGTGTTTCAGATGTTTAGGTGTTTCAGATGTTTACTTTATAAAAGCTTAAGTCAATATAATGTTAAATAGTTTTTTCAGCACTCAAACTCTGAAAGTTTAACTTTTTATCTTGACTATTGAAGACCAAGAGTGTTTTTTTACTTTTTCTGTTGCTGAAAAGTGAATCCATGTGTACACGTGCTGCCTTGCTGCAACTTTACTTTCATGCACCATGTGTTGTCATGTTGGGTTGAAGTATTTTGACCCACGACATGCAGAATCACACACAGGCAGAAGGTGAGTAAAATTATTTATTTAAGGTGGATGAGTGATGCAGATGTTGAATGGGATTCGGGAGGTTCTGATGAAGTTCTGCAGCAGAAAACCAGAGTGAGTAGTTGCAGGACAACGGGCATAAAGGTAATGAGATTTCGTCTTACGGTTTCCAGGTAGTTAGAGAGAGTTTGAGAGGAGGGCACGTCCAGGCTGGCTGAGTTGGTCGGGCAAGAGGCAGAGGAAATGGCTGGGAGCTGAGCACCGGAGTCCAGGTTGTACTGATGGCAGGTGGGGGTTGGAGAGTAGGCGGTCAGGGGCGAGCGACGGGCTGGTGAGCAGGATGATCCGGTGAGTCTCTTGCTTGGTGGTGGAAGTTGGCAGATGAATGGAAGGTACCTGAGGAGGTCAGAGGTAACAGGGCAGATTAACTTGATCAAAGCGAGGTAAACAGGAAATACACAAGACAGGCAAGGTTCTGGCGAGAATACTACCCAATACTGAGTAATCATCCAGCGGTGATGTGTTGTCCCGACACTCCTCAAATCCCCTGACCACTGATGAGGAGATCAACAACAGCTGCTCTCCGGACACACCCACCTGCACACAGAGAAACTCAACACAAACAGGTGTTAGCTCAGCACAGACCATGACATGTGTGTGCACACAATCATGGTGTTATTAAAGTGTCCAAAAAAAAACAAACAAATTACAGGTAAAAGAACCTGGGGCCTCATTTATCAAGCTTGCTTACTCACAAAACGGGGTCGGAAAACTGCGTAAGCAACTTTCCACACAAACTTTGGGATTTATGAAAGAAAACTTAGCGGAAAAATGTGCGCAACTTTAAGTTGGCTAAGGACCTGGCTTACGCACATGTTGGACATGGAGAGCACCTGCAGTGCTGCTGCTGAGAAGGATAAAATTATGAAATCCTGCAGCATCATCACTTGTACTGCTTCGTTTTCACACATAACAAGACCCCTCACACACACACACACACACACACACACACACACACACACACACACACACACACACACACACACACACACACACACACACACATAGCCTGAAGTGCAGAATACGGAGTGCAGAATATCAGCAGGGAGACAGATTGAGACAGAAGGTCATGCATCTGTGACAGTGTGTCCTGTCACTGTAACCCGATTGATGATGCACCCTGGCTACTTGAATAGGGGAGATCTACATTTGGGTGACTGGTTAGCGTGCGTGACTTTCACCTGAAAGTCTGGGGATTGAGTCCTGACTGGACCTTTTTTTTTACATATCCGCCACAGATCTCTCTGAAGAATTCACAACACTGACGGCTTCAGCAACGCTGTGCCACTCCATGGATTTTCTCTTATTTGTTTTGCAAAAGCACTTCCTTTCATTTCTCCACTTCACCCACAGTTACCTCAACTTCTGCTTCTGTGAAATTGCGCTTCCTAAATCTGCCTTGATCTACGGTCGCCATGTCATTGGCGGAGCGCTGCAACAGCCGGCTTATGTACATGCATGAGATCCACAAGGTACTTTGCATTGACTATTTATGGCAGTAAGTGGGCGTGGTGAGGGCGGGATGTGACTGAAGTGCAGCTGAGAACCTTTCTCGTTAGTCTCTGATTTATGAAGCGGAGATTGCGTGCAGCTGTGTGTACTCCATGTTTGATAGATCACAAACCTACTTGGCGTAAGTACATTTTTTGTTGTTGAGCTTAAGTACGGTTTTAGTAAGGATTCTACGCAATGTTTGATCAATGAGACCCTTGCTCATTAAAGCTGCATTCCGGAGTTTTCCCCTTTCAGAAATGATGTGGGATTTTTCAGAAATCCGTAAAAGTGATTATCTTATCATGTAAGCAATACGTCTTTTTTTTTGTTGCAAAGCACACCTCCTGCCCAGCAGAGCTCCATTCAATAGGGAACTGAGCGCTGACCAGAGCTAACCAATAGCGTTAGACTACCGCTTATTTGCTTCAAATTTAAGGAATACCTCAGTTGATGCAGAGTTGATGAACTTTTCACGGACAAGTAAGTCTCTAAAATATAAATATATGAAAACACAACAAGACATGAGAATACTACTCGTAAAACACGTGTTTTAGCTCCGTTTGTCGACTAAGAAGCACATTTATGAACAGAAACGTGAAGTCGCCATCTTAAACAAACAGAGGAATAGAATTTTTGTGTGATATGCTTGTCAGCCACTAGATGGTGCCATCAGATAAGAGAAACACTCTGGAAAGAAGCTTTAAATAGGAAGGCTGTGTTTTAGTTGATTTATTTATTTGAATTAACAACACTGTCAGGGCTTCAGTAAAGTGTGGGTGATAGAGACGGAGCCATAACAACTTGGCTCCTCCTCTTAATGCTCGTCACCAGTTTGGTTCCATTCAGCTGCAGAGTGGATCTCATTCCTCAACTTGTTGGAGATTGCCAGCGTGGCAATTTTGATCACTTTGGCAAATACGGCAGGTCAGAGATGTCTAACAGCAGCCAAGTCACTAGTAATGGGTTTGATGACGCTTTGAAGGGAGCCGTTCATTCGAGAGCCCTTTACCTCAAAGAGCCGTTCAAAAGATTCAGAGTTACAGGAAGACAAGATGAACGGTTCTCTACAAGGATTCGTTCCCTTTGAAAAGCCATTCAAAAGATCTGATTAGTTCGTGAGCGTCGCATCAATACAAGTCACGCGTTGAAGTTAACATTAGGAGTGATTACCATCAGAGGAATATAGCAGGGGGAGAACACGCAACTCCACGCAGGAAGACCGCAGCTGAGTTTCGAACCTGCAACCTTCTTGCTGCGAGGCAACAGTGCTAACAACTGTGCCATCACGCAACTCTCATAGTAAGAAAATGATAATTAAAGAGCAAGTTCCCTGATAAACTGTTTTTTACATGTTTTTATTTTTTATTTTTTCCAAATATGATCAGTCTGAGTTTCACATGGAGGCTGAACGTGAAAATAGTCCAAACAAGTTGGGTCAACTGGTGATTCGGCTCTGACTAGTGTGGCCCTTAATCAAACCATTCCACACATCCTTTATTTTCTTTAAAATCCCACCAAGAGATGCATTTTCCATCTGTTTTGCTCGAAACTGCAACACTGCTAGACTTCATACAGATTAGGTTTAGGTTCCGGTGATTCTCCCTACGCAAGATTTTTGTCAATTGTATTAAATATAAAAGTGTATCCCAGCTGGACTCGACCCACTTCTTACTTTTATTTTTCTGACATTGTTATTGTTATAACGAGATTAAGGAAGAAACACTCTTGAAAATTGGTTTATGTTACACTCTGAACTCTGACAACGCGCACGCTGTGGAGTGTCCACATCTCAACACACATCTTAGGAGCTTGGGATGGCCGAGTTAAGTGGCGAACACTCTGCAGGCCTGCCCAATTTTCTAGACCATTTCCAAACTTGAGAAAGAACGGGCAGTGAATAATTGTGGTGGTGTTCATGCCTGTGATAATAATGTTATTCTAAAAGGGTGAAAGTGGTACAAATGGTGGAAAAACAAAACACTTACCAGGAAAAAAAGATGAACATGTGGAGGAAAGCACCATGTAACTTGCTGCTAAATGACTTAACCATTGTGGGACTTAGTTTTCTTTCACAACTCTGACAAAAACAGTGGAAGAGTTTTGGAAAATTGTATTTCTCAACCATATCAGCCACATGCAGAAAGCATTTAAAGGTGTGGAACACAGAAAAAAAATGTAATGATTGTTTCTGATTATTTCATTTCATTTATAAAGCACCTTCCACTACCTCAGCAGAAGCCCAAGGTGCTGAACAAACACAAACATTTGACAAAAAACAGCATCCAATAAGAACAACAAAAAAGACAATACAAATGTAAAACAGAATAATAAAAACCCCAGAAGGAGGAATAAAAACCTCTAAAGAAAGAATTTTAGTGCAATGTTGCAGATCCCAATGCTGAAAAGGCTTGAGCTTAATAGTGCATCTTCACGTTTGACTTAAAAACCTGCAATGTTGGTGCCTGTCAAAGGTAGTTCATTCCAGAGCATAGGTGCCAAAACAGCAAATGCACGATCTCTTCGTGATCGATACCTAGCAGGAGGAACCACCAACTTGCCACGCTCAGCTGAGCGAAGTTTGCGTGAAGGGACGTATTTTTGTATTAATGCTGACAGGTAAACAGGTGCAGTTCCATGTACAGCCCTGAAAGCAACAGTAAGAACTCTAAACTTTACTGGCAACCAGTGAAGTGCCGCCAACACTGGCGTAATATGGTCCTTGCCACTGTGCCCATAAGGAACCTGGCTGCTGAGTTCTGAACCAGCTGAAGACGTGATACTGCATTCTGACTCAGACTGGCATACGAAGCATTACAGTAATCAACCCTAGACAGGACAAAAGCATGGTTATAATGGGTCACTGCGTTTTTCTTGCATGCTGAACATGAAAATAGTCTCCTACACCTATATCCTGCATTAGGTAGACAGAAAGTAGACAGTGAAACTCTAGGATTAGAAAATCCTCACACTGTGATGTCACACTGTCCCTTAATATTCTGGACAAAAGCATGATTATAATGGGTCACTGTGTTTTTCTTGCATGCTGAACATGAAAATAGTCTCCTACACCTATATCCTGCATTAGGTAGACAGAAAGTAGACAGTGAAACTCTAGGATTAGAAAATCCTCACACTGTGATGTCACACTGTCCCTTAATATTCTGGACAAAAGCATGATTATAATGGGTCACTGTGTTTTTCTTGCATGCTGAACATGAAAATAGTCTCCTACACCTATATCCTGCATTAGGTAGACAGAAAGTAGACAGTGAAACTCTAGGATTAGAAAATCCTCACACTGTGATGTCACACTGTCCCTTAACATTCGTGAACTCAACCATCTTGACTCACAATGGAGAAGGAAGGCTGTTAGTTTAGCATCCAGTAAAATGAAGAGAATATTTTGGCTGATAGAAGCTAACAGTTAGCATTAGCAGATCCACCACACAGCAGAACTCCTTCAGGCTTGTGTTATTTGTGGAGGTAAAACGTCAATGTTGCAAAGTAAACAGAGTCAGTGAGTCGCGTTGCTGTTGTCCAATCAGAGCTGAGATGTATCAGGAAATAAGACTTCAAATCCTGCCGGGTTAAGCTCTCCTCTGATGTGGCATTCCGCTAGTTCTTGAAGCAGGAGCATCTGAGCTTTTTTCCACCCCGAGTACGACTTGCAAGGCATTACACTGCAAATATGTTGATGA